CAAACCCCGCCCCATCCCCGCCCCGTTGCCATCCCTAGTTTCAATTGTACCAATTAGGGTTTCGTATTGATCTTTATTTTGTTTTGGAATTGATTTCATTGATTAAGTTTAGGAAGGGTAAAGGGGAAAAGGAAAGGTGTGGCACGGACACTTGTCATTGTTTTAATGGATGAATCTAAATGATTTTTTACTTCCATAAATTAAAATGACAATATATATATATATATATATATATATATATATAAATTAAAATGACAAAAAGGGATAATTATGAAATTGAAATAAAATAAAAATTATAAAAATTACTTAATTATATTACTGTCCTTATTAAACTATTTATATATAATATAAATTAATTTATTAATTAAAAAAGTTTGAGATTATTGGCTTGTTCTCGCATTCTCGTAAATTATAGGGGTTCTCGTTTGAACCTCCACCTATATATATATATATATATATATATATATATATATATATATATATATATATATATATAAAAGACTAAAATGCTTCTAACTAAACTGGTTTTCTTAACAGCCGTTAGAGGCTAAGACCGTTTTTTTTCAAACCATGATAACCAAATTTGTAGGTTCAAACCAATAGGGACCAAAAGTGTTATAACCACCAAAGCCACGGGACCTAATTTGTAGTTTACTCTTTATTTAATTATAATTCGGGGATTAATATCAATTTAATTTAGTTATTAATTAAATAAGAAAAAATTGCAAGAAGAAAAGTAAAATTGAAAGCTCTTATTACTGTTGCTTGCATTGCATATTGTACAACTCTTTATGTTACATTATTACATCTTATTCTTCAAAACCTACACMCACTCCATGCATGCACKYACTTCCTTTAAGCCGACGCCCACCACCCTTGCCCTTTTGAAGAGCTTGGCGAAAACAAGGCGCTTTGCGGCTGGTTGTACTTCAGCTTTTGAGCATCTTCTCGAGACACCTGATACGCGTTGGCAACCACATCCACCGGCAAGCTTCTGATCGCCGACACACGACCGGCCAGGTTTTCTGATATGGCRTTGTCATTAGTCCTGAATGAGATCCACCTTGCTCCTTCACCGCCGGCCCTCTTGATCGACGCAAAGTTCTGTGGGACCACCACCACTTGTCCCTTCCGGACCTCATCGTTGAACACTGATTCTCCCTCGTTGTTCACGATCTGTACCCTCAGGCTGCCGTGAGTTACGTAGATGAGGTTGTGGGCGTTTAACATCCATCGTGGTGACTCAATTGCATTCCCGTAGAGTTCTCCTCTGGCGGCACTGAGTTGGAGCCAGCGGAGGATGGGGAATTTGTAGTTGTTGAGGTTCGAAATCCGGCCGGCTTGTGGGTTGGCGAAATCCACATGGGAAGGGTTGTCGATGTTCTCCTTTAGCTTTAAACTGCAAACAGTCTCTTCAAWACCGTTGCTGCGTCCAYGTTGTTSTTGTKCTTCTTCTTGTCGGCTTTGTGGTGGCCGGATGATCTGAAGTCCTTGTTCGACTTTCACGATGTGACCCCTCTGGTCTCTTTTTCCCTGAAGCTTCTCGGCAGTCTCCCTGTTCACATTGAATGCTTCTGCTAAGATCTCGATGTCGAAACCCACGAAGATGTTGCCGGCRTTGYGGTATGGCTGCTCCTGGTGACGGCCTSSTTGCCYYTGACCMKGTTGTTGTTGTTGGCTCTGAGCTTGAGCTTGAGGATTTCCGGCGAGGTAGAATCTCTGAWACATTATTGGAACCTCGAATCTTTTAATTCCAACTTTGGCATTTAAGTTAAYAATTAATTACTAATGAGTGTATGTATGTAATTGTACCCTATGGTTTTGATCAAGCTGGTTAGCGGCGTTCTGGGTGTCGAAGAAGACGACTACAACAAGTTCAGTATTACCGTCGTTGTAAATCCAGTGAGCCGCTCCGGCGGGAATGGCAGCAACATCACCCTCGTTCAAGTTCTCCACTTTTTGATGACGATCTTGGATCCTGGATCCTCTACGTTCGCTGGTATCGGAAAACTGTTGTCCGGAGGAAGATTCATAGGTTTCCGGACATCCCGGCAACACAACCCCTAGAACACCCCTACCTGCAAATTAAGACCAACAAACTAAAACCCATCAATATCCATCGATTCTTTTTCTTGAATTCGAAGTTGATAAAAGAAAAAAACTAAACCCTACCTTGTTCGGTGAACGCCAAGAGTGGGGTGTTGACGTAGGACGGCAAGAAAAGACCGCCAGGTTGAATCCGGTGTCGAACAAACTCGAAACCGGCACACTGGAACTGCTGGTTATTGGGTTCCCAGAACTCAGTSACACCAGCTTCAGCTTGGATACTATCGTAAGGCTCGAGAGCATTGATTCTGTTAATCTGGCACTGGTTTTGCTGCTGTTGTTGTTGCTGTTGCTGGTGCCGAGCTAGGGTTCCGGCGAAGAGCAGGAAGAAAGCAAGAAGCAAAGAAGCTTTGATGGCCATTGATGGTGGTGATGAAGAAGATGATGAGATGGTGTGGCGAATGGAGATTGTGAGGTGGGGTTTTATAGTGGAAGAGGGTGAAGGAGAGAGTGCCATGTAAGAGACTTATGGCATGAAAAGAAGAACAGATGGAAGGAAGATGTAATACATGTGTAGAGATATGGCTACTGTTACAAGGGTTTGTATCTGCATGCAGCATGATGATAAGAATAAACCTCAACGATGATCCACATATGGTATGGAGTATGAAAATCCGACTCCATTCGTTTTCACATAAAACTAATAAAAAAAATTAATATACAAATATATGTGTATATCCTCCCTTTGAATTTTATATTTTTGATGATATATGAAGGGAAAAATTGAGTAACTTTTTAGTCACTATATACAACGCAAGTAATTGAAGATGCTTTTTGGTTTTTCATGTATGTATAACATTTACTGGAAAAGTTATTTACAAATTACTTGTATTTACATGTTCATATCATATAGATGAATAATTAGTAGGGTGTTTCTTAGTTTTCATTTTTTACGGTCTTACTTTTAACCTGACCCTATATATATGTAGAGACCCTATATATATGTAGAGGTGAATTATTATGCAACGCTTTACAATTTTGCAACTCTTACAACCAAATCAGGAGGGTCCATTTGACCATTAACAATTAATATTTGACCGGTTCTAACAACCATTAATAATAAAAAACCAAAAAAGAAAATTAAAAAAATKGATGGTGGATAGATGGATTGCACCAATTGTATAATCTAATGATCGAATTTGACCTAAAGCCTTATAAGGACTAGCAAGTCGTTGGGTCTTCCAAAACTCTATGGTAGAATTCTTAAACGTCGGGACATAAGAGTAAGCAATAAGTCATGATATAAAAAATCAATCAGACGCCCAACGTTATTTCAAAAGAAACCAATTAGTAAGTGCAACTTCTGAATGCAATTAACGAAGTCACCCAAAATGCGTTGAATGTGTATCACAAAATTTAACATTTGATTCCCGACCTTTCTTAATCAACACTCCATATGAATGCTCCAATACAAATTCTTCCTTTTATTATAAAGTCCATTTACGAAACACCTCCAACTATTTCGTTTTATGAACAAAAAGAAAGAGAATGTGTTAACGTTTTGGTCCTTGAGAAAAACTTGGCCGAGTAGACAAAAATAACCTCCCGTGGCTGAGATTTGGAGGATGGTTTATTCAACTTTTGTTCAAACACACTATCATTTTTAACATGTATTTTCATTAAGTTGC